TTGAGAAACTTAACAGTAACAAGTCACCAGGTCCAGATGGCATTCACCCAAGAGTTCTGAAAGAACTCAAATGTGAAATTGTGGAACTATTAATTATGGTTTGTAACCTGTCCTTTAAATCAGCTACTGTACACAATGACTGGAAGATAGCTAATGTAATGCCAATATGTAAGAAGGGCTCTAGAGGTGATCCCAGCACTTACAGACCGGTAAGTCTAACATCAGTACCAGGCAAATTAATTGAAACAATAGTAAAGAATAAAATTGTTGGACACATAGAAGAACATAAATTGATGTGCAAAAGTCAGCATGGTTTCTGTAAAGGGAGATCGTGTCTTACTGATCTATTAGAGTTCTTTGAGGGGGTCAACAAACATGTGGACAAGGGGGATCCCTTCATTTCTATTTATTAATATCTTCATAAATGATCTGGAGGATGGTGTGGATTGCAGTCTCAGCAAATTTGCGGATGATACTAAACTGGGAGGAGTGGTAGATACGCTGGAGGGCAGGGATAGGATACAGAGGGACCTAGACAAATTGGAGGATTGGGCCAAAAGAAATCTGATGAGGTTCAATAAGGATAAGTGCAGGGTCCTGCACTTAGGACGGAAGAACCCAATGCACAGCTACAGACTAGGGACCGAATGGCTAGGCAGCAGTTCTGCGGAAAAGGACCTAGGGGTGACAGTGGACGAGAAGCTGGATATGAGTCAGCAGTGTGCCCTTGTTGCCAAGAAGGCCAATGGCATTTTGGGATGTATAAGTAGGGGCATAGCGAGCAGATCGAGGGACGTGATCGTTCCCCTCTATTCGACATTGGTGAGGCCTCATCTGGAGTACTGTATCCAGTTTTGGGCCCCACACTACAAGAAGGATGTGGATAAATTGGAAAGAGTCCAGCGAAGGGCAACAAAAATGATTAGGGGTCTGGAACACATGAGTTATGAGGAGAGGCTGAGGGAACTGGGATTGTTTAGTCTGCGGAAGAGAAGAATGAGGGGGGATTCGATAGCTGCTTTCAACTACCTGAGAGGTGGTTCCAGAGAGGATGGATCTAGACTGTTCTCAGTGGTGGAAGAGGACAGGACAAGGAATAATGGTCTCAAGTTGCAGTGGGGGAGGTTTAGGTTGGATATTAGGAAAAACTTTTTCACTAGGAGGGTGGTGACACGCTGGAATGCGTTACCTAGGGAGGTGGTGGAATCTCCTTCCTTAGAAGTTTTTAAAGTCAGGCTTGACAAAGCCCTGGCTGGGATGATTTAATTGGGGATGGGTCTTGCTTTTGAGCAGGGGGTTGGACTAGATGACCTGAGGTCTCTTCCAACCCTGATATTCTATGATCCAGTGGACATAGTGTACTTAGATTTCACTGGAACAGCCGTGTTAGTCTGTATTCGCAAAAAGAAAAGGAGGACTTGTGGCACCTTAGAGACTCACCAATTTATTTGAGCATGAGCTTTCGTGAGCTACAGCTCACTTCATCAGATGTATACCGTGGAAACTGCAGCAGACTTTATATACACATCATATTCTCTGTGTGTATATAAAGTCTGCTGCAGTTTCCACGGTATACATCTGATGAAGTGAGCTGTAGCTCACGAAAGCTTATGCTCAAATAAATTGGTTAGTCTCTAAGGTGCCACAAGTCCTCCTTTTCTTTTTAGATTTCACTGTTTGTTCAGATCACAGGGTCAGGCTGCCCCCCTCCTAAGATGCAGGCTCTGCCCCTCCCCTTCCCCCCAGTGGCTGAACAAAAGCCTTGCTCCAATGTAAGCTCACCTGCTGCATCTCCACAATGAGCATTGCATGCCCCCCTCCTGCTCCCTGAGCTGTCACTAATCTTCTCACTGACTTTAGTGATGATGGGCTCTCTCCTGGCTGCAACCACGGAAGCCCCTGGAGAGTACTTCTTCTCGGACGGAATTAGGTTGAAGAAATACCGGGGAATGGGATCATTGGATGCTATGGACAAGAACTTGGGCAGCCAGACCCGATATTTCAGGTAGGAGAGACCTGGCATGAGAGGCAATAGGTCCCTGAGTCTGTGAGATCACTGCCTTAGCCTGCCAGATCTGGTTTGTTCCACGGGCCTTTTGTTTTCAACCATCCACAGTGAGACAGATAAAATTAAAGTGGCCCAGGGGGTCTCTGGTGCAGTGCAAGACAAAGGTTCTATCCACAAGTTCATCCCGTACCTGATCGCTGGGATCCAGCACTCCTGTCAGGATATCGGTGCCAAGAGTCTGACCCAAGTCAGGTAAGACACCTCCCCGCGTGTGCGCTCAGCTAATCCTCAGTTCCTCCATGGAGCTCATCTTGTCATCCCTAAGCTAGTGTCTGGTATCTGGCTTCTTGCAGCTTGTAGTCAAGGCCCACCATGTCTCATAGACCCTGATCTCTGTGGCGCAACTGAGCTGGAGCCCCTTCTCTCCTCTCAGTCCCCAGTGGGCACACCCTGGAGGAGTTGTGCTGGGAGGGAGAGCACTGCCCTTTGCAGACTGCCCGGGCAGTCTTACTGAGGGAGGTGCTGGAGCTGGCTGCCTGGCTCTGCTCCTGCCAGAAATGGAGGGGAAAGGAGGCAAAGCCTTGCTCTTCCTGTGCTGCAGTTGGTGTGAAATCTCCTTGCCCCACTGCACAGTACAGTCTCTCCCCAGTCCTGCAGCTCCTCATGGCACACTGAGGGCCAGAGGCCTTCTAGCTGCAGCCTGGGGGAGCCTGACCCCAATCTGCTTTCCCTTGGCAGAGCCATGATGTACTCGGGAGAACTGAAGTTTGAAAAGAGGACAACATCTGCCCAAGTGGAAGGAGGAGTTCACAGCCTCCATTCGTAAGTCCTGCCAGTGCTGCCCTTCACTGGGCTCTTGGTGGCTCCAAACACTGTTGGATGTGGCCCAGCACACATCTAATGCTGTTGGCCTTGCCCTTGCTGTCCCTGTATGCAGTGGTACATGCTGCATCCCATTGGCTTGCAGTGAGCTGGGCTGTTTTTTGGGGGGGATGGTTACTGGCTTCCCTGTTTGTAGCAGCCAGAGCTGTTCCATGATTGCACTGGCCTTGGATTCTCCTAACAGAGCAGATCTACTGCAACTGACTGTCCCAGCACAGAGGACCTCTGGTGTACTACTCCTGGGGCCACCAGGCCCAGCTCTGTATGTGTCCCCCCTCTGCTAGCAGGGGTCTGTGTGCTGGGCTGGGCAGGCCTAGAGTTAGAGGGGCCAGTGCCCATGGCTAACTATTTCCTGTCCGTTTAGATATGAGAAGCGCCTCTTCTGAAGGAGGGTCTGTGCCTGTACTCAGCACCTTGCTGCTCTGCAGCACTCAGCTGCCATGCACCTGAGCTGCTCCTTTCACAGAAGTGCCATTATCCTGCAAGCACCTGCTGCTTCCTGGGTTCAGCAGCTGTTCTCCTTCCCTGTGAAGACATCCGTCCAGGGCTCCCGATGCCATGGGGGCAGCAGGACTCAGGCCCCGGCCTGTGTTGGACATATGTTACAATTAAAGAAAAGAGGTGGGACTTGTCTGCCTGTCTCAGTCTCGCCTCCTTTCCCCAGGTTGCAGTCCCTGACTCCTGTCCCATGTGCTGTTTGAGGAGTGATGCTGTCACTCTCACCCCTTAAGCTGGTTTTGTTGCTGGTCTCTGAATTTGCTCTTTTTTGTGAGAGCAACCATTGCCCCCATGTACTCCAGTCACAATTCCAGGCCCTGTCTGTCCTGTAAATCCCTGCTGCTCTCAGCCTGACCACCACAGCTTGCTCGAGTGCCTCATGAGGGTTTTCTACTGCCAAGTGGAGGAACTTCTGTGGCAGGTGCCCCTTCAAAACCCAGCTGAGCCATGATCCAGCTGCAGCCTGCTCAGAACCTCTCATGCTAGGCTGCCCAAAAGCAGAGTGGAAGGGGCAGGTCCTAATAAGGCAGTAGGTGGCAAGAGGAGTTTCAGCTCAGGGCAGGTCCTGCCACTAGCATTCCTGGGCCCAGGGACAGAGAGGCTTTGAGTCAGGGCTACAGCCTGTTCCAGGAACAGTTCTGCACCAACATGGGGGTAGCTGCCCCTGCAGCCCTTATCTTCTTTTGCATAGTCCCTAGCAGCAAGCCCCCACCTGAGTGAGGGGCCAGGCCCAGCAGTTCAGACAGACACCCATGGCCCTGCACAGCTGGTCACAGTTTATTCTGAACCATTTTCTCCTTTCTAGTAACAGTTCATGTTCTGTTTCCAGGCCCTGTCCCGCCACAGGGGCTCAGCTGCTTCTACCTCAGGGCTCCAACAGCACGGGGGGGGATGAGGGCAGCTGCAGTTGCCCGACCCTCACTTGTCAGGAAGTTGAACGTTGCACAAGCGTTAGGCTGTGAAAGAGAAGGCAGAGGCCCAGAAACCATCAATGACTAATGCACAGCCCTTGGCCATGTGGAACATTTACCCAAGCCCCTGTCTTCCTGGAAGCAGGGGAGAAGAAGCCCACATACCCTGCCCTTAAGCCATGTTCTCATCTCTGCCCACCTACTCCCAGGCCTGCCTTTCACCACTAGACACGTGATCATTAGCCCAGGGTCTATGGTGCTGGGAACAGAGTTCCATGCCTGTCACTGCACCTGAGGGTTCAGCTCATGTTGGCAGGACTGCATCTCAAGCAAATAGCCACCAAGGCACAGATGCCCTGTCCCAGCATGTGCCTAGGCCCACAACCATTGCAGAGCTGTGCGCATGATCACAGGGATGCTGCCATTGCACAGTCCGGTGAAATGATGTGGTAGGGGGCCCAGTAACTGGGTCATGCTTCACACTCCCTGGCCCTGCAGGGTCACTGGTGGCCTCCACCCATCTGAGCAAGGGGTCAATGCATAGGGCAGGGCCTGGGGGAGGAGTGGTTACCTTCGCCTCAGAACATGCCCCTTGTTCTGGGCTTCCTGAACAGATATTCTGAGCTGCTGCAGACAGCCCTGAGGTAGGGGCCTGGCAAGTCTGCTCAGCTTCACTCGTGTTCCCAGCATGTCCCCCCTACCGTGTTCTGCACCTCCACAGCGATTCCACATTCCCTCATGAACTTCAGGACGTCGGGCTCCAGCCGCTCCACCTTGTCCCCCATGCCCAGCACCAGGATTTCTAGTAGCAAGAGACAAGCCCAGGGGAGAGAGGCTGTGTTAGCCCCATGGCGAAACTCAGCCCTGTCCCTCGCCCGCCCCACATTGTGGTGGGTGCTCAGCACCTACAGCTTCAGCCACAGCACACAACCAGTACAGCCATCCTGGCGCTGGCCAGTCCCTCCCCCAGCCACAGCCCCATCCGTCCATTCAGACTACAGTGGCCACCGCCTTGTAAGACACGGAGTAACCCCAGCCTGGCTGCCCCACTCCCGATACTCATTGCTGGGCAGTGTCTGGGGAAGGGGAAGTTCTGCTTTGGCTCAGACAAGGGCAGGGTAGCAGGACATGTGCCAGCACATGCCATGGGCAGGTCAGAAGTGTGGATTGGCCAGTGCAGCCCCTGCTCCTGGCTCACTCTAGGGACCAGCACACCCACCCAGTGCCCAGCTCGTCTCTGCGCCTCCAACCTACCTATTCTTGGCTCCAGCAGCCGGAACAGTACCAGGCTCTCCTCAGTGATGTCCTGGTAAGAGCCAACCTGAAGGAAAGAAAGGACACTCAGAGACAAGACACCTCCCTGTGCACCTCTCCTGCTCACAATGCCACCTGGCTTGGAATGCAGTCTGTGCCCTGCATGGGGGAGATGCCCCACTGAACCATCACGCCCACACTAGTCCAATAGCAACCTGCCCCTAGAGCTTGCTGCTGCCTTGACTGGGCAGGTTTCAACACACAGCCAGGGAGGTCCAGGTCAAACCACCTGCACACCCCCTTGGGGGCAGGGAAGAGTCAAAGTGACGGACATGTTCCCAACCAGGCCTAGCTCCCTGGGTCTCCCACACACCCACCCCCAGGACTGGACTGGCCACCTGGGCATGGGGAACTCCACTGCCCCAGGCCTGGGAGCTCAACACAGTGGGGAGTTGAAGGCCCAGGCCCTGTGGGGAGGGGGAGGACCCCTGGGGCACTCACATTCCACTGCAGGATGGCACGTGGGATGATGGCGCAGGGCCCCACCACCTTGTCCCCATTGATGGTGAAGCCCCGGCTGCTGTAGCTGTCTATGAACATCATGCTGGAGGATTCCCGCTCCAGCGCCTTCAGCGTTGTCTTCTGGTAAAGCTCGTCATCTGCAGGGGTGAGGCGGTGACCCCGGCGAGGCTGCCTGTCACAGGAAGGCTTGACTGAGACCCACCAGCCAAAAGCCCCAAGACTTCGCTTCCTCACCCGCAGTCCCCCTTGGGCAGAGACCTCCCCCCACTGTGCATGGTGGCTGGCTCCCCTACTGCCGTGAAGGGCCTCATAACCGCAGGGCTGACGAAGGCTCCCAGACAGCCTCTGAGTGGCCAGCTCAAGCCCCACCACGCAGGGACTGAGTGCAGGAGCAGCAGCTGGGCCTGGGTAAGAGGGGCCATGGGCATTGCTGGCCAGCTCTGTCTTGCAGCTAGAGCACCGGCCAGCCTAGACCTGGCCTCATTCACCACAGTGGCCAGGCTCTGCTAGCTGCTGAGGACGGCCTCTCCCAGGCAGAGGGAGGTCAGGCCCGCGCTGGGCCAAGGGAAATCCAGGGAGACGTGGTGCTGGGCCCCACGGGGCGCTCCCGACCTTACCAGTCCGGGGCTCTCCTGGCAGCTGCCAGCCTCCAGCTAGGAGCTAAGCCCCCGCGGCAGAGCATCCTCACGGAGGCCAGAACCATCCTGCTGCAATGAGACGGAGAGAGGGGTCAGGGCATAGCCACGGGGCGCCTGCTCACAGCCCGCCCGGGGCTGCAGCTGGCAACCCCAGCGCACCGAGAAACCACCAGCGCCAGCTGTGTGGAGAGCCCTGGGCTGAACCACGGAGCACTGTGGGGGTGGATGGAGGGGCACCGGCGGGAGGAGCCCAGGGCTGGGGTAGCGGGGGCTGTAGGTTGGGAGTGAGGGGCACCGGCGGGAGAAGCTGGGGGGGGCTGCGGGTCGGGAGTGAGGGGCACCGGCGGAGGGTAGCGGGGGGGGGCTGCGGGTCGGGAGTGAGGGGCACCGGCGGGGGGAGGGGGGGGCTGCGGGTCGGGAGTGAGGGGCACCGGCGGGAGAAGCTGGGGGGGGCTGCGGGTCGGGAGTGAGGGGCACCGGCGGGGGGTCTGCGGGTCGGGAGTGAGGGGCACCGGCGGGGGGGGCTGCGGGTCGGGAGTGAGGGGCACCGGCGGGGGGAGCGGGGGGGGGCTGCGGGTCGGGAGTGAGGGGCACCGGTGGGGGGAGGGGGGGGGGCTGCGGGTCGGGAGTGAGGGGCACCGGTGGGGGGAGCGGGGGGGGGCTGCAGGTCGGGAGTGAGGGGCACGCGGGGGGGGGCTGCGGGTCGGGAGTGAGGGGCACCGGCGGGGGGAGCGGGGGGGGGCTGCGGGTCGGGAGTGAGGGGCACCGGTGGGGGGAGCGGGGGGGGGCTGCAGGTCGGGAGTGAGGGGCACGCGGGGGGGGGCTGCGGGTCGGGAGTGAGGGGCACCGGCGGGGGGGGCTGCGGGTCGGGAGTGAGGGGCACGCGGGGGGGGGCTGCGGGTCGGGAGTGAGGGGCACCGGCGGGGGGAGCTGCGGGTCGGGAGTGAGGGGCACCGGCTGCACGAGCCCCGCTTACGCGGCCTGCAGACGCTGCCGAGGAGCAGCGCGGCGGAAAGAGCGGCCTGCCGGGCCCTGCCGCCGCTCCCGCTGCTGCCCCCTGCTGCCCGGCGCTGGGAGCTCCCCGCTGGGCTCGGGAGCGCTTGGTGCTGCCCAGGGTCTGCCGGCCCCTGCGCCCCACTGCTCCACGCCGGCCCCACCTGCCCCCACCCCGAGCCCCACTGCTCCGCGCCGACCCCACCTGCCCCCACCCCGAGCCCCACTGCTCCATGCCGGCCCCACCTGCCCCCAGCCCCACTGCTCCATGCCGGCCCCCACCCCGAGCCCCACTGCTCCGCGCCGGCCCCACCTGCCCCCACCCCGAGCCCCACTGCTCCATGCCGGCCCCACCTGCCCCCAGCCCCACTGCTCCATGCCGGCCCCCACCCCGAGCCCCACTGCTCCGCGCCGGCCCCACCTGCCCCCACCCCGAGCCCCACTGCTCCATGCCGGCCCCACCTGCCCCCAGCCCCACTGCTCCATGCCGGCCCCCACCCCGAGCCCCACTGCTCCGCGCCGGCCCCACCTGCCCCCAGCCCCACTGCTCCGCGCCGGCCCCACCTGCCCCCAGCCCCACTGCTCCGCGCCGGCCCCACCTACTCCCAGCCCCACTGCTCTGTGCTGGCCCCCCGCCCCCAGGCCCACTGCTCTGTTCCAGGCACCCCACTACCACTCTGCACATTCTCCCAGTCCCTTCATGGTGTGCTGGGGCGGGGGACCCCTATGCACTGGGGGGCTGTGGTGCTCCCCAGGCCAGGGTTGCTGTGGCATGGTCAGGCCCCTGCAGCCAAACGGCAGCATCAGGGCTGCTCAGACATGGGGCCTGCAGCCTTCCCTGCAAGCCCCCCAGGTGTCTGCTTGGCCAGAGTAGAGGAGGAGCCTGGAGTGGATTTCACTAGTCCCCCTACCCCGGGACCTGGCACTGCTTCCCCCACACTTGAGCCCTCACTAGGGTGGGGCTGAGCCAAGTGCCAGGGCTGCTGGAAAGCACCTGCCCCTGGGGACCAGGGGGCTTTTCCCAGGTGTCAATTAATGGACAATGAGTCTCTCAGCCTCAGCAGAGCAGTGCCGGCTTGTCCCCTCCCAGGGCGGTGCTGGCAGATGGTTGCACAGATCACTTCCAAGCTGGCCTCGCAGTTGCCAGAGGGGAGATGGGCTGGGGGCTCAACGTTGGCCCCTGGCTAGTGCCCACCTGAGGGATGGTCAACTGAGGAGAGCCCTGGCACAGAGCATCACGGGTAAAGACAGCCAAAGCAGCTTTGGAGGAGGGCTGAGTGCTAGCCGGGACCTCTTGCACTGGAGAGGTGGGCTTTGCTGGCCCAGCTCCTGACCTCAGAGCCACTGCATGGGTGGGGCAGGCCCAGGACTTCTGCAGATTGGGTCACGGCTCCAGGAGCCGAGCTCCGAAAGGCAGGGGCCTTGCAGACAGTGCGGCCAGGCTCTGCTCGCTGGGACTCCCTGGGATGGTGACAGAACTCCAGGACATTCCAAAACCAAAACTGGTTCCAAAGCCAGGCCAGGTTGCTCAATGACACCAATGCTGCCTTAGCACAGGGGCAGAGTTCGCCCTGATCACAGGCTGAACACGCTCCTTACTGAGGACAAAGAAAGGCTAATGGGGCCTGGCTGCAAACTGTTCTCTGGAAAGCCAACCTCCTCTCCTTACTGCACTACACACCTGCAAGCCTGTACAAGTCCCCGCGGCTTCTCGCAAACAGGCCTGCACTGCCTGACTGCAGCATGGGCACCCGTTAGCACTCAGCTGGAGGAGGGCATCACATTGGCTGAAACACGGTGTCCAGAAGGAGACCCCTGGGGTGTGGGTTTTGCGGGTGCTCAGCACAAGGCCCTGTGGGCTGTGGCTAGGCAGGCAGGATGTCCTTGTGGCTAAAACGCTCTGGGTTCAATGCTGTGCTCTGGCCCAGATTCTCTGTGCCTCACAGACACCCCCACCCCTCCAGAAGCAGCAAAGATATTTTCCCCTGCCTCCTGGGGACTGAGGGGCATCACCTGGGCTCTGTGGGGACAAAGAGGGGATTACAATTACCTCCATTACTCCCCTCCTCCCCCCAAGATGTCTGCAAGGGGCTTGCACTGGATCCAAGTAGCCTAGGGCTGCTTTGGGAAAGCAGGAAAGTGGCTGTGGGTGAAGCTGGGGGCAGACCTCCTCCCCACCAAACACCTGCAAGCTGGACCTGAGCCACTGCAGAAACCCAAGCCAGCTAATCCGCTTGGATTTCGGGCTCAGGTTTCCCTGCTTGTCCCTGTAAAACAGCAGCAGGGCTGGGCTGGGTCAGGTCCCATATGCCAGTTTCCGTCCCTCTCTGCCTGTCAGTGTTATTCAAGACGCCTCCCCTGACTTGTGCGGCTACACCCTGCCAGGGCGGAACCGCCTCTCCCAATGCCACAAGTTGCAATTAGCCAGCCCTGAAAGCTCAGCACAACTGGGGGCTCCGCACACCAGCTGCTTTCCCTGGCACCGTACACAAGCGGGCTCGGGGTATAGTTATTTCTAGGACTTTCCATGGCCCCATTGCTGGGGTAGCCTCCCAAAGGACATTTCTGCAAGTTCCCTGTGAGGCATGCAGTTCTCCCCCCATGTTACACAGAGGAGACCTGAGGGGCTGCACTATGAAGGGACCAGCACAAGGTTGCACAGGAAGCCTGGGGCAGAACTGGGGACTGAACGCAGACTTTGGGGGTCCCAGGCCAGTGCCCTAAATACAAGGATGCCCTCCTCTGACTCAGGCTTTGGCAGTGGTGCTGTCCCATTCTCCCCCTTCCCCTCGTTCCTCAGTGTTACACAGGGATGGATCCCCTGCATGGTGCAGGCCACCGAGCCTCACCCACCTCCTCCAGGGATCAACCCCAGCCTCTGGCTGAGTCACTGACATCGTCAAATCCAGATTTAAAACCTTCCAGTGAGAATCCACCATTGACACGAACTCAAAACAGCCAGTGCCCTGTGCCCCATGCTGCTGGGGAAGACGTAACTCCCCCAGGGTCTCTGCCAAGCTCACCCAGGGGAAAGTTCCTTCCTGACCCCAGACCTGGCGATTGGTTAGACCCTGAGCACATGGGCAAGACCCAGCAGCCAGCCACCTGGGAGAGAACTGTCTGCAGTAACCCAGAGCCCTCCCCAGCTCGTGTCCCATCTCCGGGCGTTGGGATATTTCCTGCTAGCAGTCGCAGAGTGGCTCCCTGCCATCATAGGCAGCCCCATCACACCATGCCCCTCCAGACACTTCTCAAGCTCAGGCTCGAAGCCAGTTAGGTTTTCTGCCCTCACTGCGCCCCTCGGGGGCTGCTCCAGAACTTCACTCCTCTGATAGCTAGAAACCCTCTCCTAATTTCCAGTAGAGACTTTCGCTCAACTGCAATAACTCCTCTCCCTGCCTGGTGTTATCCCTCGCATGGATTTCTGGACAGCGAGCAGCTCTCCCCTCACCTGCGTTTGGTCAGGCTAAACAAGCCGAGATTCCCCTCTCATAAGGCAGGTTTTTCCATTCCTCAGTTCATCCTAGTGGTCCTTCTCTGCACCCATTCCAGCTAGAAATCATCTTTTGTAAACACGGGAGACCAGAACTGCACCTAGCATTCCAGATGAGGTCTCCCCTGTGCCTTGTACAAGGTATTAACACTTCCCTGTCTCTGCTGGAAATACCTCACCTAGGACTGCATTAGCCTTTTTCATGGGTGCATCCCACTGGTGGCTCCTAGTTGTGGACAAGAATGGGAGCGAAGCCAGCCACAGAGCATTCAGACAGCAGGAGTGGAGTGGACCACTGTGTCAGGTTCAGTGTAGAAGTCCCCCTAGATCCGTGTTCCCTGCTGACTCACCCTCCTGCCATCTCCACGTCTCCAGCCCAGCCTATGGCTCACTTTGCCTCTTGGGAACAAAGGCTCCTGATGGCCACATACACAGTACATGCACACTTCAGCTTCCCGACTGGCTAGGTAAGTGGGGCCCTGGCAGCTGCAAGAATGACCCAACCTCAAACCCTGAAGGCCCAGCGACTTGGTGACAGTGACCCTGGCCCACTGGACCCGGCAGCACGGGCGGGGGGGGGGGG